TATCCAGATCATAAACAACCCCTTTTACCTCCTCCATTGTAACATCCCTTAGCAAAACCCCATTTTGGTCCGTCGACACAAACTCCGGTATATGGACTAGCAGCTCCTCGACATCCCTGACCTCCTCTGCTGTTAGAAGCCGCTAGAAGAAGCTAACTGCTTGCTGACCAATCTGTTCATCATCCTCAAGCCACGTCCTTCCCATCATCCTTAATGCAGTGTATGGCAAGCCTCAAGCGTTTCTCTCTAACTGAAGCATGAAAATACCGTTTGTTGGAGTCACCATCTCTCACCTAGCGTAAGCGCGCCTTCTGGTGCCAATAGTTCTCTTGGATACGTAAGCTCTGTAACAAGTGGCCCTGCGCGCGGTGTAGGTCAATCCTCGCCTCATCCGTTAGATTAGCTTCATACATAATCTCCTTGTGTTGCACCTCAAGCTCGTGCTGCAGGACAGTTTGAAAGATGTCCCCAAATTGTTGTTTACTCCATTGTCTTAAACATGCCTTCAGACGCTTTAGTTTGAAAGCCAACCGATACATGCCATACCCTTGTATGGGCAAATCCCAACTACTCTGCACTGTTGAGAAAAGCTCTGGGTTCGAAACCCAAAACGATTGGAACTTGAAGGGCTTTGGAATGCTAGCATCTACAGATTGCAGGCTCACTAGCAAGGGTGAGTGGTCGGAGGCGGCGCAATTGAGATACTGGACAGAAGTATTCGGCAAGAACTCGAGCCAGTGTTGGTTGATTAACACCCTGTCTAATCGCTTCCAAATCCTGGTACCTGCTCTAACACCTGACAATGTGTAAGCACTTCCGGAGTAGGGAAGCTCCTGGAGATGGCAGTCAGATATTGCACCATTGAAATCCGAAATCGCCCCAAGGTCTTGGGCCGCTCGGCCCGTATACTTAGCCAACGTACTGATGACATTAAAATCCCCCTTACCAGCCACGGCTATGTGATCGAGCCAGCGAGAGAGCATAGATCAGACCATAATACTAGCCTTTCGGCCCTGGTACACTTGGCATAAATGAACGACGCATTAACAATCTCAGTCCAAGAGTCGTGACCCGCCATAACATGGAGGATTTGCTCCGAGTTGTACAAAACATTAAAATGAAAACCAGAGTGCCAAAACACCCAGATCTTATTTGATGAGTTGAGCAAACAAAAATCAAATGATAACTTCATACGCAAGACTTCTATATTACTAGCTTCTGCCATAGGTTCCAAAAACACTAAAATAGCAATGTGATGGAGGCGGAGTAAAGCTTTTAGTGACGTACTGAAGATTTGTTCGTCACTCCGCGAATGTTCCAAATGAGGACATTTTTCATTAGAAAGAGGGTGAGGTGGTACCTCGATGGCTTTAGAAGCTTGTCGTGTCAAAATCTGTCGGGTTCGAGGGATATACACCTTCCGCTTCCTCAATTTCTATGGTAGTACCATAGTGAAGTCGTCCTCATCTCATTCAGCCATTGGAGGTGGCATATGCGGCTCCAAGGCCATGCTAAACTGTTGGAGGGAGACGACCAGCGTCGCTCTATCTGGTGTGGCCTCAGGCTGGCCTTCTCCATCTGAGAGTGATCCATGGGAGGGTTCCTTCTCCTGTGCACCCAAATCAACAAATGTATCGTCACAAATACTCCCTAAGGCTGGTGGACCTTTAAAAGTGCCCCTTCAGCAGCTGGGTCAGAACTCCTGCCATCAGCATCCTGCTTCTGCTCGCTCAGACACGTAGCAGCAGAGGTTGGTGCAACATCAGTCGTCAGCAAGGCTGGGGCGGCGTCGATCGTCGACAGGAGGATAGGCTCGGACTCTGGATGCAGCGCCACACTCCTTCGCTGGTCGTCAGCCATGTTCGTCCCCTCTTGGGCCTGGGAAACCACAACCCCGACAACGTCCCCTCCAGCCGGACCGCCCCTATTCCCTTGCCTGTTCTGCCGACTATCCAGATTGGAGTGTCCCTGGCGATTGCAAGTCGAGCAGTACGATGGTTAGTTCTCGTACGCTACTCGTTGCCAGAAGCCATGGGTGCCTGCTCCAATCCAGATGCGACCAGGCAACTCCTTGGAAACATCAAGATCAATGTAGAAATGGGCAACACTGGGTCGGGACAGATTTGTAGTCGCAGTGTCAACTTGTAAGGGGCTGCCAATAGCAGAAGCGATTGAGAACAGCGATGCTTTGTGAAAAAAATAGACGGGTAGATGTTCCAAAGCAACCCAGACAGGCGCATACGTGGATTCACTTGTAACCTTAAAGTCTGGTGACCATTTAAAAGTGTGCATGGGAAAGTCAGCGATGTTCCACAGTCCCTTCGTCCAATATCGCAGATAATCCTCCTCCGAACAAAACATTATGAGGATATGCCGTTGATCCAGAAGACCAATGGTGAAACTGGAAGCGAAGCCAATCGTGGAGAAAGCCTTACGGATGGTATCAAGGTTCGGTCTTCCATTAGAGAACTTCCCCACAACAACGAATCTGAAAGGTGCGGCCAGCTTCGCAATGTCCTCCTCCGAGAACATGACGGCTGGTTCCCCCTTGAACTGAGCAGTAAGTTTGATCTTGCAAGGGGATGGCGCCGGCTGATGCTGAAGAACGGCAGCAAAGGAACGGCCATCCCTTCCTCCTGGTGGCTAGTGGTCAGCCATTAATGAAAGCCCTAACCTTCCCAAAATAGCAAAGCCGAGAGAGGAATCTCAAGTCCTAGTTTCTTTTCTCATCGAACCTTTCTATACTAAAGAATTTTGTTTCAATCACTTAATTATGTAAAACCAAGTTAAGAGAAGAAATTTCATCAAACATGCAAAATGTAGGCATAATTTTTCTCCACTTTACATAATATATTTTCCTATAAATACAACATTTATAATCACATAATAGTAATTTCCAAGTTACATGAGCAAAAAAATGCTTAAGTCACATATATTTATCTTAAAAGTAGAAGAAATTTGAGTTACTAATGGTATGAAACTTGTTACCCTTTACATAAAATTGAAAGATTTTGAAACATATTGGGGCAATTTTGTAACTTTGGATAAGATTTTGAAAAAATTTTGACAGAGTTTTTCCCTAAAATTGGATGAAACTCCCTGCCGGCAACCCCAAATTAACAACAATTAAGTGCAATTCATATTCTAAACATCAAGTCCAAACAATGAATACAAAAATACTACAAGTACAACACATTTCCTCCCCCACACTTAAAATACACATTGTCCTCAATGTGTAAGGAAAGAAAAACAGCAAAATTGAGGTTGGAATTTGATTAACTTGTGGACAGAATCTTGCAAATGTGTCTTCTAGGAAATTGTAATCCTTTGACTCTATTTTCCAATGGTATAACGTTTCTAAATTTTGGACTTAAGAAACTTGAGATACGGATTTTCAAACAAGTGTTGTGCAAAACTGGAGAAAATTGTGTTTTCTAAAAGTTTTTCTTGCTTCTATTTTCAACTTTAAGTTGGAGTTGTTAAATTATTTTGAGCTTGGTTTTATGATTGGAATGAGGAATTTCTTGGTTACTCATGTCACTTGAGTCTAAATGTTCTCTTTTTACTCCAAAATCATATTTGCATCGTTGTACTAGTAGTTACTTGGATTTTCTATGGTTCACCTAAGTTTTAAATGGTTGAACCATAATACTTTATTTTGGTTGTTCTTAGGGTTTGTTGGTGATCAACGACATAACCCGAGGGTGAACTATTGACGTTATTTTACTTAAACTGGTGAGTGTCAAGTGCATGTTTCTTGATATCTTGATTTGAATGATACCACGTGTTATGTGTTTGAATATTGAACTTGATAAGGTGAGGGTGTACTTTATCACACCCATCCTCCCCTTTTTGAATGATCTTGTACTTGCTTGAACTTGATTGACTTGTACTTGTGCTTGACCTGTAAGTGCTGAGCGGCAGCATGTACCACAATTAATCCGAGTGGGAGGTGCCTCTCATTCCCATCTCAGTACTTTTATCTTGATTAAATCGATTGGAGAGTTATCTCATCGACTATACTTGTTCTTGCGTGGGTATACTCGAGTATTACCAAAACTCTTGTGGACGTTCGAGCCTGGTAGAGGGCGAAACGGTGGATGGGGATTCGTGTCAAGTGAATTCTACGGACTTGTTACTTGTGTGGTTAGCGGAATGTCAACAAAAGAAAATGATATCCAAGATAGTGAAATGGCAAGCTTGTGGATTAGCTCTTGAGAGCTCCTGTATCCTCTTAATGAACGTGTTTTAGTCCTTTTGCGGCTTTACGTGAAACTATTGTTGTTATTCTGTACATGTGCTACTTGAGTTGATTCATGGTACTTGCTTTACGTGCTTGCTTCTTTTCTTGGCCTCACTGAGTGTCCGCTCATCCCTTTAAGTTTATTATTCCTTAACAGGAATTTGAAGTGAAGAATTGGGGACGCTAGACTAGCTAGTTTTTGTTTAGAGTTAGTGTAATTCCTTGAGCGACTTTGATGTGATACCACGATCTAGACAACCAATCACCAATGGCTTAGGCAGCGAAAATTTGACCCAAAACTAATCCCCGAGATAACGAACACTATTGATACTATCTCAAACCGTTATCTAACGAACTAGTGAACCAAATTAAAGATAGATGAACGCCACAACCAAGAAGTTACTTGATTGATAAGTTCAATTGAACAATTTGAGAAATATTCTCAAGTGTTCAAGAAGGCTCTCTTAGGAAGAGAAAAGTGAAAACACTCAAAATTGTATTAATAAAAAAAACTAACCGTAAAGCTTTCTTGTCTTGGCTATATATAACCATACAATGGACTTGAAAGCTAACCCTAAAGTGGACTGATTCGCTTTAATGACTAGGGCCTTGTGGGCGAATTTAAATGACTAAAAGAAGACTGCTTGTGTTCGGCCAACTAAGGATTAGTTTGGACCGAATTTTATTACAAAAGTAAACAACTAAAATGGCAATTAAAAGGCTACTAAGTCTCGGCCTTTGACCAATAGGTGGTCAACTAACTCTCGGCTTCACTTGGCTCATCCACTTGGAGCAAGGTGTAGATTGTGGAATCTGCATTCTCCAAGCCTTCAATGGTCTTTAAGTCATCTCCAATTCTTTCTTGGATGGTGCATACAAGTGCTTGAAGTGACTCGCGCATCTTCTTGGCACGAGCTCTTGTGACCAGTCCTAGTGGCACTTGAATGACTTGGCCATGATCACCATTGATCCTTGGTGCCCCCTCATCAGTCCCCTCCTCTTGAAGGTGATTTGTCCCCAAATCAAACTCATCGTCTGCATAAAAGGGATTCAAGTCAGCAACATTAAATGTAGCATGTACCCCGTACTCAACTGGAAGGTCAAGTTTGTAGGCATTATCGTTGATTTTCTCCATGTCTTGGAAGGGACCATCTCCCCTTGGGAGGAGTTTGTTGCGCCTTTGAAGTGGGAAACGCTCCTTGCGCATGTGGATCCATACCCAGTCGCCTGGTTCGAAGACCATCCTGTGGCGTCCCTTGTTCGCATTTTGGATGTATTGGAGCGTGCGCTTCTCGATGTTGGCTCGAACTTTGGCATGTAGATCTCGCACAAATTCTACCTTTTTTCTTACCATCCATGTTAACTCTCTCATGCTCAGGTAAAGGAGATAAGTCCAATGGGGTGAGAGGGTTAAAACCATAGACAATTTCAAAAGGGGAATATTGTGTAGCAGTGTGCACAGAGCGATTGTAAGCAAATTCAACATGCGGTAAGCAAGCTTCCCAAGTCTGAATGTGTTTTTTGATTATGGCACGCAACAAAGTAGACAAGGTCCTATTGACTACTTCAGTTTGTCCATCAGTTTGTGGGTGACTAGAAGTAGAGAAAAGCAATTTAATGCCTAGTTTACACCACAAAGTTTTCCAAAAGTAGCTAAGGAACTTTACATCTCTATCTGACACAATGGTACGAGGCATGCCATGTAAACGGACTATGTTTCTAAAAAACAAGTCAGCTATGTGTTTAGCGTCATCGGTCTTATGGCAAGGTATAAAATATGCCATTTTAGAGAAGCGGTCAACCACAACATAGATAGAGTCATGACCTTGTCTAGTTCTAGGTAATCCGAGCACAAAATTCATAGACAAGTCAATCCAAGATGCATGTGGGATAGGTAAAGGAGTGTAGAGTCCATGAGGATTTACCTTCAATTTTGCATGGTGACAAGTCACACACCTTTCTATATGTCATTCCACGTCCCTCTTCATGCATGGCCAAAAGAAGTGCTCTTGGAGGATGGACAATGTCTTAGTAATCCCAAAGTGACCCATAAGTCCTCTTCCATGGGCTTCTCGAACCAATAGGGATCGCATGGAGCTCAGGGGAATGCACAATCGGTCCTTGTAGTACAAGAACCCCTGTGAAAGAAAGTAATGCTCACGAGTGTCTCGTGGCAAGGAGTTGACAATTTCACCAAAATCTGGGTCAGTGGCAGAGAGATCCTTGAGATATTCAAATCCTAGCAATTTGGTATATAATGTAGTAAGTAGTGTATATCTCCTAGAAAGTGCATCAGCTACTATATTAGACTTACCTATTTTATACTTGATCACGAATGCAAAAGTGTCGATGAAGGCTATCCACCTTGCATGTCGTTTACTCAGCTTGGTTTGTGACTTGATGTGCTTGAGTGATTCGTGATCAGTGTGCAAGATGAACTCTCGAGGGCGAAGGTAGTGTTGCCAAGTTCATAGTGCTTAAACTAAGGCCATCAGCTCCTTGTCATAGGTTGAGTAGTTCAAGGCGGCTCCATTTAGTTTTTCACTGAAGTATGTGATTGGTCGACCTTCTTGGAGTAGAACAGCTCCAATACCTATACCAGAAGCATCACATTCTATTTCAAAAGCCTTATCAAAGTTGGGTAAGCTTAGAACAGGTGCATGTGTGAGCTGGTGTTTAAGTAATTCGAAAGACTTAGTTTGTTCTTCCCCCCATTGAAATGGTGAGTTCTTCTTGATGATGGATGTAAGTGGTGCAGCTATGGTGCTGAAGTCTTTGTCAAAGCGTCTATAGAAGCTTGCCAAGCCATGGAAACTCCTCACCTCACTTACAGTGGTAGGGATGGGCCATTCATTTATAGCCTTCACCTTTGCTTGATCAACTTGTACCCCCTATGCACTTATAACATATCCTAGAAAAACAAGTTGATCAGTGCAAAAAATGCACTTCTTAAGGTTGGCGTAGAGCCTTTCCTTTCGAAGTACATCCAAGACAGCCTGTAAGTGCAATGCATGCTCTTCTAAACTCCTACTATAAATGAGGAAATCATCAAAATATATCACTACAAATTTACCAATAAAAGGACGGAAAACATGGTTCATTAATATCATAAAAGTACTAGGTGCGTTAGTTAAGCCAAAAGGCATGACCAACCACTCATATAAGCCATGTTTAGTCTTAAAAGCGATTTTCCATTCGTCCCCATATTCCATACGAATTTGATGGTATCCACTTTTCAAATCAATTTTTGTAAAAATAAAAGCACCATGCAATTCATCAAGCATGTCATCTAGACAAGGGATGGGATGGCGATACTTTACCGTGATGGCGTTAATGGCTTGACAGTCAGTGCACAATCTCTATCTTTCATCCTTCTTAGGCACAAGTAGGATGGGTACAACACAAGGGCTTAGACTCTCACGAATCCAACCCTTACCAAGCAACTCCTCTACTTGTCTTTGTTGTTCCTTAGTTTCCTCGGGATTGGTCTTATATGGTGCCTTGTTTGGCAATGAAGCCCCAGGGATGAAATCAATTTGATGTTCAATCCCCCTCAAAGGTAGCAAGCCATTAGGTTTGTCCTCAGGAAACACATCATGATACTCCTGTAAAAGGTTAGTGACAACACTAGGCAGAGAAGTATCATGTTCATTAGTGAGTAAAGCTTTTTTACAAATCAATATGAGCATGACTTGGTTGGAATGTAAATCTCTCCTCACATCTCTCATTCAAGCTAGCATGTTGGTTTTTCTTTTCTTTCCTAGCTCATTGGTTCTGTTAGGTTAACTTTTACTCCTTGAGGTCTCGGCTACCCCTTTAGTTTTAATTTCGATGGTTGTTTTTGACTAGTGACATGCATTTCATACTCCCATTGCAAACTAGTTTGGTCCTCATGCACTTGTTGTGGTGTGAGAGGTGCAAGTGTAATTTTCTTACCATTATGCAAAAAGGAGTATTTGTTCAAGAAACCATCAAAAGTAACTCTCTTATCAAATTGCCAAGGGCGGCCTAAAAAAACGTGTGCGGCTTGCATAGGTACTACATCGCATATAGTATCATCTTCATAACGACCAATGTGAAAAGTAATTAAGACTTGTTTAGAGATACGTACCTCGCCGCTATTGTTTAACCATTGGAGCTTGTTTGGTCGAGGGTGGTCGGTTGTTGGTAAGTTGAGTCGCTCCACTATTAGTGAGCTTGCAACATTAGTGCAACTCCCTAGGTCAATGACTAGGCTAAATACCTTGTTGTGTATATGACATCTTGAGTAGAAGATGTTTTCTCGTTGGAGCTCATCTCGACTAGCTTGAGTAGCTAGTGCTCGCCTTGCCACTAGGCATCCAATTGTCTCATTGACAGGTATCTCCTCAAGCTCATCCTCTTCCCCCTCCAAGGATGGCATTCCCTCATGTTCCCCGTCTTCATCATCGGTCAATAACTCGCCATTGGGTAACATGACCAAGGTCCGTTGGTTGGGGCATTGGGAAGCAATGTACCCAAACCCTTGACACTTGAAACATTTGATGTCACGAGTCCTTGGTTTAGAGACCTCTGGTTGGGATTTAAAACCCTCCCTTGAAGTTGGTTTGGAAGGTAGTATAGTCAGCCTGAAAGTCCCCCTGGAATTTCCATTCGACTTTGCAAAGTGTGATCCTCCCTTTTTAAGGGTGTATTTCTCCAATTTCCAGATTGGAAGTTGGAGTTTTGTTGGGCCATTCCCCTCCTCTTGAAGCTCCATTGTACCTTGATAGCTTTGTCCAAGAGTTCTCCCATATCAAGGTAGTGTTGAAGCTCCACGATGTCAGCAATGTCAGGCCGTAATCCTCCCAAAAACCGTGCCATGGTGGCCTCCTCATCTTCGTGAACATCAGCCCGTATCATGGACATTTCCATTTCCTTGAAGTAGTCTTCAACCGTCATACTACCTTGAGTGAGGGTTTGAAATTTGTGATGCAAATCCCTGTGATAGTAACTGGGTATGAAGCATTTCCTCATGATTCGTTTCAAGTTGTCCTATGTCCGAATGGCCGGTTCCTTATTCCTTCGTTGTTTGATGCGGAGTTGATCCCACCAAACTGCGGCGTAATCGGTGAATTCTATGGCGGCCAACTTTACCTTTTGAAACTTTGTATAGAGGTTGCAATCGAAGATCAACTCAATCTTTCTCTCCCACTCCAAGTACGCTTCGGGATCCAATTTGCCGTGGAAGGTACGACTTTTTAATTTTATTCCCTTGAGTTGATCCTCCACATGAGCTCGCTGTGTCATTCTCTGCGGCCTTCGCTCATCATCTTCGAACTCTCCCTCTGAGTTAGAGTCACTGAATTCATTCACGGTGAGTTTCCCTCTAGTTTTCCTAGAAGAGTTTTTGGAGGGATCCAATTGTGCGTTTTTGGAGGGATCCAATTGTTCAATTTGCGCTTGCATGGACTAAAAGTGGAGCTCAAATTTCCTTTGCATGTCTCTCCATATAGCATCCATTCTTGATGCCAATTGTGCCACGGTGATATCGTTTTCATTGGCCATGGGTTATCTTGTAAAACTTCAACAAATGTTAAGGTAAAAATTCCTCACTCACTCCCTCACATGTTTCGCTCACTCTCGTGTTTCGCTCACTCTCGTGTTTCGCTCAAGTGTTTAAACACACTCTAATGATCTCACCACTCACTTTCAAATCCCTTGATTGCCCCCTTGAAGAAATCAGAATTTTCCTTCAAGTAGTCCAACCAAACTTTTCTCAAGTTTTGTCCTCAAAAGTAGCATATGAGAACCTAGTGATTAGAGGTCCGAATAATGACTCAGAAATAGTAATTATACGAGCAAGAGTGTTCTGGAAAAAAAAGAAATTTTTTTTTATTTAGCCCGCAAAAGAGTGACTCAAATGTTGGAGGAGATTTACTTCGGCAAGGGCTCTATGACTAGGATGGACTCTTTTTGGACACTTTTAGCAATCTGCAAAATGACTCAAGAGGCCAATTTGTGGTGTGGACAGAATGCAAGGTTCGATTGACACAGGAACAAGATGTCGGAAATTTAGAATCCTAGAAGGGCTCTACCCACTTTGCATGCGGCTGGGTTTGTTCTTGGGAGGTGGTAACCAATGTTTCTTGGGTGTTTGTGGGCTGTGATTGTTTGTGTTTGCGGTTGGTTTTCCCCAATTCACATAGACAAGTCCAAAGTGGACAGCTTTGTGGCTGTTAGGGTTCGCCCTAGCAAGCCAAGTCAGTCAAGGAGGTTTCCTAGTTCAAGAAGGTTTCTTATTTTCTTGTGACCCAATTATGGTTTTCTCTTTCTTTCTTTCTTTTTTTTTTGTTCAACCAGAATGCTTTTCTTTCTTTTGAATTTCGGATCTCA